TCTTTCTCATCTCATGTACTTTGTATTAAAGCTTATAAATAAGCATTTTTTAAAATTCTAAATCTAATACCTCTTATTTGGGAGAAAAAAATACCTGCTACCTCTTTATTTCTGTTCAGATTCATAAAAGTAGCAATAATAATTAATATAAAATTCTCAGATCTATGCTCAAATTTTACTGAATCTATTTTCCAAAGCTAGTAGGAGTAATACGTATAAGTTGGGATGACAAAATCACAAATAATGAGGTGATAAGCCACTTGGGAAAGCAAAGGGAAATCATCAAAGCCATTAAAAAGTGAAGGTTAGAATATTTTGGACATGTGAGGCAACACCCAGAAAAATATGGCATACTTCACTTAATCATCCAGGGAAAAATTGAAGGCAAATGAGGTCCAGGCAGAAGAACATCATGGCTTCAAAACCTAATGGATTAGTTTGGACAAAACTCAGCAGCACTTTTTCATGTGGCTGTTGACGAAAATAGGATTGTCAACGTGATTGCCAATGTCCAATGATGGATATGACACAAGAAGAAGTAGGAGTAGCCACTAATACCCCTATTTTACAGTCATAACTATTTTCACTACAAATAAATTGTAGGTACTCCTATTGTTCTAGTAGAAGCAGGTCAAGGGGCAGGTAGGGTAGGAAAATTAGTCTGAGGCCACTTAAGAAAGTGATCACAATTACTGAAAAGTGGTGGCATACTTTCCTGTCATTCAAGATGGTAAAGCCTTAGGCTGTACATCAATCTTGAAAACTAACCAGAGTTTAAAAAGAATCCATGAATCTTCCAAAAAAACTCAACCTTCCCAACCTACATTGTATCAGTCACTGTGCCCACTGTAATCTCTATCCATCAGAAAATTCTAATATATATCCATAGTGCTAGTTTTGGAGTCTTAAAAGTTGCCAAGATTAAACACCGCTGACACAGCCTCCCTGCATCTAGTGCAGGGGTCTCCAAAGTTGGCCACTTTAAGACTTGTGAACTAACTCCCAGAATTCCCCAGCCAGTATAGCTCAAAGTCCACAAGTCTTAAAAGGGGCCAACTTTGGAGATCCCTGATCTAGTGCCTACTGAGCGACATGAACAACCATCATTCCCTGCTTTCTTTTTCATTCTGAAACCAGGTCTTTTCGGCGACAGAAAGGCTGGTTCTTGGGAAGCACTTCCCAGAGTTTAGAAGGATTTACAAGCAGCTACGTGAATGCAGCCGTAATACCTTTGTCTTTCTTCACACACCTTCATACTTTCTCTGGAGAGCAGGCAACGGAATTTTATTTTTAACATGGGCTGATGTATTCGCAGTTAAAAAAAAAAGATAATGAAGTTATTGACAAATCTGTATTTTATATCCATCCAGGTGAGGAACACATCTTACTTACACCAACCTCACTCCATTCCTAAGAGGGGCATGCATAAGCGCACCAATGTGCCTATCGTCCCTGTCCTACTGTTCCTTTTTACTTGTATGCATTTTCATGTATTCAAAAGCATGTTTATAGTTGTCTAATACGTTTGACAAAATAAATAAAATAGAAATAAATAAAATAAAAATAAATAAAATTAAAAAATAAAATAAAAATAAATACTACTGCTGTCTTCCCCACAACCACACACACACGCGCATGCGCGCGAGTTGGGCGGGGCTGGGAATGACCCAAAGAAATTACGGGGCGTTTGCCTCACGGATTTCTGCTCCGTACTGCGCCTGCGTGCGGAGGACTTCACCTGTTGAATTTCTGCAGGGCAGTAGGATGGGACCACAAAACATTGGCGACCCTAACCAAGGCGCACCAGAAGGTCGCCTGAGACTCAGGAAGCCCAGTAGCTGTCTCCCCCGCCCACCCCCTCGGACGGCAAGCTGAGGAAAGTTCAGCGGGACCGCCCAAGCGAATAGAGAGCAAAGGTGGGGCGCGGGTGCATCTGGCGCACGCACGACGACGACCCCCCCCCCCAAGCTCGGCCTTACGTAGCGCGCGCGATCACCCTTCCTCCCTCAATGCAGGACGCCTGACCCTCCCTCTCCTCTCAGCCACCCACCCCCCCACTCAGATCTTGGCTCGAGGGTTCGCTCACCCGCCAACCGGAAGCAGGAAGTAATGGGAAGCCAACTTCCGACTGGAGCCCGCCTTCACCGGTATTCCCGAGCGGACGTGGAGAGGAATTACGTCATTCCTTTCCGGATAGGAAACCCCGCCTTCTCTGCCTTTTAGGGAACGGGGCTTTCCTGGGACAAGCAGAGAAGGATGAAAACCTGACACGCACACACACACCCAAAATCAGACTTGTGGTGCGTCAGGCATAAACGCATACTAATGCTATTATGAGTACCCATAGTAATCATTAGTATTCATGGTAATACTATTAGTATGGAAAATAATAGAACAGGGCTCCCCAAACTTGGCAACTTTAAGCCTTATGGACTTCAAGTCCCAGAATTCTCCAGCCAGCTATACTGGCTGGAGAATTCTGGGACTTGAAGTCCACAAGGCTTAAAGTTGCCAAGTTTGAAGACCTCTGTAATAGAGAAATAGTCGGGGTGCGATTGGATTGCTGGGAAGCCTCCCAGAACAAGCCGTGGTGGCTGCGGAATTCTGGGAGCTGAAGAAACGGACCGTCTCTTAGTCATCTGGCATTTTTGTCGCCTCGATTGTGGCTAAGTGAAACTGAGCGGCAGCACAGCCCGGTGAAAATTCCTCTTGACTAACAAAGGCAGCTCTTCAGATAGTGCTCAAATAACCCTCCTTCTCCACTTTTTCTAAATCCCAAGTCTCGTCAAGTTGAACTCCTTATTTGGCAGCTCCCTCCTTTGGGGCAAAAGGGGGGGGGAAGCGCCTGAAGATCAGGAAAACAAATGTCTCGTCGTTTCCATAAGCATCCCCCCCTTTTTTTTCCGGATGGGGGGAAATAAAGGCAACTTGAACCAAGAAGTGAGCTACCTTTTAATACCTCTACCCTTTTCTACCTCTGTAAGCCCAAGCGGCATTCTCTCCGGAGGGCGGGGGAGCCGGTAAATGGCCGGAGCCAGGAGCGTTGGATGGAGGGAGGGGGCGTGAAGGGGGCGGGGAGCACGTGGGACTATTTAAAGCGGAAGACGCCCTGGAAAGGGCTTGTAGTATTCCTGGAGGAAAGGGACAATTCGCCTATGGCCAACTTGCTGCGGGACAATTTAACAATTACCGGTATTTAATTATTTAAAAAAAAATATTTTAATTTTTGCCATTCACGTTTCGTTTTGTCCCTCCTTTTGCATCCTTTCTTTAATAGTATAGTATTTATTGTCATTGTACAAAATAAATGCAACAAAATTGGTTGTCATACATTTCCACGTGTGCATGGAGTGATTGTGGTTGTATTTAAAAGTCTGACAGCCCAAGGATAGAAACTATATTTAAACCTGTTTGTTCGGCTGGCTATACTTTGATTGTCTTCTGCCTGATGGTAGAAATGCAAAGAGACACTGAGACACAGGGTGTGAATCATATCTGAGTATCTTCCTTACTCTGCTAAAGCAGCGAGATCTGGCGATGTCATCCAGG